ATATATATATATATATATATATATATATATAGCAGCATGAAGTCTGGGAATGCATAATAGTTATACATTGAAGTAGGAATACACACAATGTCCCGATGTCTAGTAAATAACATCTACATAATAGCCACACTCGTTTTATTTTTGGTATTTGCTTTGTGAAAGCAGTACTTTGGTATTTTACTCCCTATGGTTGATATTATTCCTCACAAAACTGTATAATGTATTCAGATTCTAGCGGTGATGGTCCACCTCCACTTTTAGAAAGCTGACATAAGACCTTTTCTCCAACACTGTCTTTATTTTTCCCCTTTATTTTCATCCCTAGGTGACAAGCTATGCAGCACAGAAGACTGTATTCCCGGCACAGGAATTTATCTGCGACACGGCTGCATTTACTCCTCACTAACAGGCTATGTGCTTAAGAAAAATGAAGGAGAGGAGGTAAGGGGTGTGGTGGGTGTGTCTGTGTGTAGGAGGGAGGCAGGGGAAGCTGCAGAAGCAATGAGGAGTGCCAGAGTGTTGTGCAACATTTGTGAATGTGAATGAAGGAACAAACATATTTCTCTTCATTCAGAAATGATGCGCAACACTGGTGGAATGGCAACTATTTTTAGAATGACAGGTTTATTCCTCGGCCTGTTTTTTAACTTCAACAATAACTGAAATGCTGTTTGCAATGTGTCTCTTTTGAAGTTACCAGTGATCTCGGTTGTAAGGGAAACAGAAACACAACTACTACCAGATGTAGGAGCTATAGTCACCTGTAAGGTATGCAGTTGAATCTGATACTATTTTGTTACTTATGATCTGATTGTGATCCTTCATAGCTTGGATTAAGATCTGTGGTTTGTTTCAAGCCTAACTGTTTTTTGCTTGGACAGGTGACCAGCATTAACCCCAGGTTCGCAAAAGTCCACATCCTTTATGTGGGCTCCACACCGCTGAAGGACCGCTTCAGAGGAACTATCAGGTAAACTGCCCCTCTATAGCATAAAGCTGCGATCTAAACCTCCAGCTAAAGAAATGGCTACTGTCCTCATCAACAAGTCTGGGACAATCACTGTCACAGTCTTATCTCCTCCCACTGACACTGTACGTTACCTTAAAGGGGCCCTATTGTGATCTTTTTCAGGTTCATATCTGTATTTTGTGATATGTTTCCATGCTTTAAAGTTCAAAAAGGTCTTTATTTTTCTCCTACTGCCTGTCTTTTCACCCTCTGTCTGAAACCAGAGCCCAGTCTGCTCTGATTGGTTAGCTGGCCGGCGCTGTTGAGATGGGTTTACTGCTTAGAGATGTAGTTGTATGTTAGTAATTCTATTGCTCGAAGTGGAGTCGAAAGAGATGAGTTTTCAGTCTGCGCCGGAAGATGTGTAAGCTATCTGCTGTCCTGATTTCAATGGGGAGCTCATTCCACCATTTTGGAGCCAGGATAGCAAACCCACATGTTTTTGTGTCATTCTCAAAACTGAGCCAATTCTTTCTGACTCTACAGGAAAGAAGATGTGCGTGCCACAGAGAAAGACAAGGTGTGTTTTAATCCATGATTTCAATCAGATCATTAGATGTTTACTTATTTAAAAGATGACATGCTTTTAGCGTTAAGCTTTTGTCTTTATTGTTACAGGTAGAGACGTACAAAAGCTTCAGACCTGGCGATATCGTCTTGGCCAAAGTTGTATCCTTCTCTCGGGTCTAAGACGCACCCATAAGTAACAATCTCAAGAATGAAACTATTTGAGAGCTATGCAAAGTATTTAGCTCGCCTTTTGTTTTCATCCTTTAAACCAGTGGTTCCCAACCTGGGGGGGGCGCCAGGCCTCAGATGATTTGAGCCCAAATATCATAGTTAGACTTTTTTCTTTTACATATAATTGTAAAGCAATACATGATTGTCACTAAAAGCCTTGTCTCTACATTACAATAACATATACAAAATAATTGGCTAATTAATTTTAATAAAAATTCAAGTTAGTATTAAAGGCATAAAAAGAAAGAAATTTATAATTCTTTCTTTAATAGGAATGTTTCATCTGCCCATAAAGTGTCCAAACCAAGCTTTTCTGGATAAGCACATTTTTAAAACATAGTCATTGTCCATGCCGGTTTCAGTTGGATTATTTGTCACAGTTGCTCCAATCAGATTGGTCTCCTCCATTTTGTAGATTATTTACGACTTTTGAATCCACATAAACACATTGGCAAAATCCTTGACCTGTGTCAGATTTCTCTCGGAGACGTGCAGTCAAACTACCTGTTGACAACAGCAGAGAACGAGCTGGGGGTGGTGGTGGCACACAGTGAAGCAGGTAACTTTCAAAAAACAACCTTTTTATTTTTTTATTTTCCACTTCAAAACACAGCACTTCACAGATTGAACGTATCTTGTTTGAACACCAGGTGGTGCAAGACGGCTGACCTGATCAGACTCAGAATAAGCTTATTCATCCCACAGAGGGGAAATGTACATTTGTTACAGCAAGTAAAGAGCCAAAGATAGCTTAATATCACTCAAGGAGCATGCATAACAAATATTAAACGATAGAAATTGCGCAATTTACAAAATACACATCAATTACCAGTAACTGTTTTGCAAATATAGCAGTCAGGTGAAAATAATATTAAATGTGGAAGTATATATTGTACAGCTATTTGCGGTAAATATATATTGCACATAGGTAGTATTGCACTACAGGGTTGTTATAGTCTTTGTTGTTATATGTGTGTGATAAACTTGAGACAGTTATTGTCACAAATATTTGCAAAGTGAGTCGTATTTATCAAACATTTGATAAACACTGTTACAGTTTAGCAGAAGTTTTGTAACTGTTTTTAGTAACCAAGCATGGTTTTGTGTAGAAATGTAAGAAAAGAAAATGACATGAGGAACAGCTTTCAATCCAAGGAAGTGATGCAAAAATGAGTGACATTTAAAGCTACAGAAGTGTTGAATGCCAGACCGCTACCGCAGACAGAAAAGTTTGATTCAAGGATTTAAATCAAGGTTTTTGAAAAGAAAATATGGGTCATTGTACGTGCTTGAATTTATATAATTTTGTAATCTATTGAAATGTTATTGTCTGTTTCTGTAAAGCCTGCTATGTTTCATTCTTAAAGTTCTCAGGGTTTTTAACAGTAATGAATCTTGATTCTTGTCCCAAACTATGTTATGTGAAGGAACTTTAGAGAATTGGGCCTGGAAAGTTCTGAATTAGATTTTTGAAAAGGTGTATGAACCAATAATTGAATAATGTATATTGCTGTGGACACTGATTATAGAATATATTGTCTCTTATTTTACCTCACTTTGTCTTTGTGAATCAGGTGCCCAGATGGTTCCCATCAGCTGGTGTGAGATGCAGTGCCCGCAGACGCACAGCAAAGAATTCCGGAAAGTGGCGCGAGTGCAGCCGGAGTTTCTTCAGGCATGATGAGACGACAGATTATATCACAAGGAACACACAGCTTCACCTCTCTCTCTCTCTCACTGACCTAACAGCCTCGCAACTCTGTTATAGATGTTTCTTTCTGAACATTTTTATTCGGCTACTTCTATTTTTGTATAGCTCTCTGGACATGGTGTCATAGTTTGATTGGTCCAGCTGGAATACACTGAATCAACATCAGGCATATTCTAAACTATGTAGTGACGGTTGTTAGACATTTTTTGCTCCGTGCACGCATCATCAACATTAAAGTTGCATTTAATTTGCTTGATCACAACCCTGGCTGACTTAGTGACATTGTAGCTGCCCAACTTTGTAAGTGTCCACTATGTTGAAAAGCATAAGTAAAGAAAGGACTATTTCACAAAGGCAGCATTTGCTCAGTTTTGCTAACAAGTATTATGGTCGATCATCTAGTGACTCTGAGGATGAAGCAGTTGGTGCAAACACAGATTTGTAAGCAGAAATTCTTTTAAATGGCTGTTATTGGTCTGAAATGATGAGGATTTGACCAAAATTGCTACACTTTGAAACTTCTTTTGCAACTTTTATTTTGTACATTAAAATGGGCACAAACATCCTTTCCAACTTCTGGAAAAGGTTGTCTGCAGCAGAGTGGAGTGATATGATTTGAGGGCCTAATGTGTAATCAGCGTCACAGCTGGACTAACCGCCCATGTTAGTCAGATATTTCTCTTGGTTTACAGAAGATTGTCTAAATTAAATGAATGAGCCGACAATATGTAAGCAGAGATTTTTCCATTCTGTCTGGAAGTTTGCAAAATAAAAAACTATAAACATTTCTAAGTTATACAATTATTTTGTGATATGTTTGCACAACCATACACACATGTTTTCAAGATTATACCCATTCACATAAACATTTGGATCAATCATCAAAGCGAACTGATCGGCTTGAATGGATGTCAATGGAAAACTTCTTGTTCGAAGCTGGAGTGAACCCGAGTCCGGTGCCCCTGTTACTGAAGTCAATCCTACGCCACTGTGCACGTTCAAACTCTCCCACAAGCCCTTGCTGCAGCTGTTCCTGTGCGCTCTTCCCCAGCGCCATGTTTGCTGCCCCGCTGTTGTCCGATGCCGGCTGGAAACCCTTTTTGAAGCCGCCCATCAACCGGAGGAACTTCTGCTGCTTCTCAGAGCTGTTGAACTCTGCTGTGCTCCACTGGCCGAGGCCCTGAGAGAGAGAGAGAGTGAGAGGTATTAAAAACGGAAGCACTAAGGAGCTCTCTACTGGTTTTACCCGTAATTGTTTGTCAGCAGGAGTAAAACTCGATCGATGAAAATGGTTTTAAATGTCTTCTGGAGGAGTTTTCTAAAGTCTGATCAAATAACCCTGATGTTCAGATATTCTCAGAGATTCAATTGGTTACATTTCAGGAAAAACACTCACACAAAAAGTCACGATAAAATCGTGAATTTGGAACAAAACTGGATCAACGTAATAATCGCACAGGAATGCCACAAGCGTACGTTTAGTAGGGAGCAATGAGATATCCTTTTTCGTCCAATCAGTATTGTTTTTTTCTCTAAATTCACCACAGCAATAGCTTCTCCAGGTCTGAATGCTAATGAAAATGTGGTGATTATGGGCTAAAATCTCAAGTTTTCCCTCATTGTTAATTCTGATCGCAAAGTATAATTTGATTAGGTCATCTACGACAAGTGGCTTCCTCTGGTGTGTGATGAGGAGGATCCAACCCTGCAAAGTAGGGAAAAAATATGTAGGTCCTTAAACCTTATTTATGTATAACTCTAAAACACTGGAGTACCCTTTTAAAAGAAAACCAGCTAAAAAGGGACATCCCAGAGTTTAATTTCTCTACAAAAAGCAAAATGACATACCATTGGTTTGGCTGGAGGTTGGGAGGCATTGTCGACTTCCATTTGTAAAGACTGTCTTCTTTCCTGTGACAAAAAACACACTTTATTAAGAGTTGTGTTACTGGAACATCAAGTAGTTAACTGATTTTTTTTTTTTAAGTGTTATACAGACTTTTTTGCATTTACATGAGAAATTCAACTTCCACCATGTTTGTATAAATATGAAATTCAGCCATGTTTCTCTCCAGTGGATTAAACAAATTACACACGTGTCACTATACAAATATTTATGTTTATTTAGTTTTACCTTTGGATAACAGCCAGTTAGCTGTTTTCAGTCTTTGTGCTAAGCTAACTGGCTGTTTATACTAGCTTTGTATTTACCAGCAAGAAAGTGAATAAGAGTATTCACAGAAATTCTATCCACAGCAATAAATATCAACCCACTGACAGACTAACTAGAGCCCTGTCTACCTGGTTGATGTTGACCTCATCAGCGTTTCCTGTTTTCTCGGACAGGAAGACCACGTCCAGGACGTTGTGTGGTTCCTGAAACACAACAAAACACAAAAAAGGTTCACTCCCTATGTAAAAACATAAAACATTAGAGCATGATATCAATCACTTCTAAGAACCAACACTCACATGTTGGTCTTCCGGCTCTTCTTTAATCTTCTTCTTTTCGGCACTAGTTAAAGAACTCACATTCTCCACCGGGGTTTCCTCCTCAGTGGAGATTTTCTTCTTCTTCTTTTTACTCTTCTTTCCTGCAGGTTCACTACAGTGCTCCTGAACTTCTTCACATTTGAGTTCTGATGCTTCTTCCTCCTCTCCCTTTCCCCTTTTCTTCTTCTTCTTCTTCGGCTCTGTGTCCTCTACTTCACTGAACTCCACAGAAGCTTTTCTACGCTTTTCTTTTTTTCCTTTGGTCTTTGGCTCCGTCTCAACTTCATCGATGACAATAATCTCACTCTCTGCAGATTTTTTTTTTTTTTTTTGTGTACCTTTTCTTCTGAAGCTTCTTTGCTCTTTGTGTTGTTAACTTTGTTTTGGATTGTTCCTAATTCACTTCCATCTTCTTCACTATCAGCCGATTTCTTTCTTTTTTTCACCTTAGCCTCTTCTCCCTCTGGTGTTTCCAACCTCACTCGATTTTTATCCACTTTGGACTTTTTATTTTTTGTGTCACCATCTACAGGTTCAATGGTTTTCTTTTTCTTTCTTTTAACTTGCTCCTCAATCTCCTCTGTACTTACTACTAAAATGTTTTTTCGCTTCTTGGCTTTCTTCTGCAAATTATCCTTTACAGCATGCTTTTCTCCCTCCTCCTCATTTTCTGATTTAATCTGCTCAGACTTATTTTTAGCTTTCTTTTTCTTTTCTACTTCCTCTTCTTTCACTGAACTGAACTCTTCCTTTTCCACCTGCTTCTTCTTCTTCTTTTTAATGATTTGATTGTCATTTTCTTTCTTGGCGTCAGAACCATTGACACCATTTAGAGTTACAGAAACAACCTTTTTTTTTTTCTTCTTCTTCTCTACCTTGTTGGTGGAGACATCCGAAGACTCCTCTTCTGAATCTATAACAATAATATCAACTTTTTTACTTTTCTTTTCTTTCTTTTCTTTTTTCATAACATCTTGGATCCCATCTTCATCAGTTATGTTGTTATTTTCCAGCGGAGTGGTTTTTATTTTCTTGTTTTTCTTCCCCTTCTTAACACATTTCTCCTGACTCAGCTCTTCCTTCATCTTCTCCCCAAGGCAAAAGACCGCTCGCTTGTCTGGTGAAAGAAATACAATTATGGCAAGACAATACCTTTCAGGGATAGATTAGGCTCTGTGTAACGGAGAAATAAATACTAACCAAGGGTTTGGCTGAGCTGGAACAGCTTATCAATGTCTTTTTGCAGGGCCAGTCACTTTACCTGCAGGGTACAGAGGGGAATTGTGTTCAAATGTTTATCATTTTAGTTTGAATGCAACACATACTATTACTGTTATCCATCAGTAAACTCATTTTTCTAGATAATACATGTATGTGTCAGACAATTGAAACACTGCACATGCAACTTTTCTACAAGTTCTACTTATTTATTAACTGTAAATTGTTTATTATTAAAGATTCAGTAACGCTTAGAGTTGTATTAAAATACCTACATTCATGTACATTTCTCAGGTTGTGTAAAACCTGAACAGGTTGTTGTGTTGTTATTTTTTTTGCCTTCCCATTAAATGAACATGCTTTCAGTGAGTGAACACATCAATGCTAACAACCCTTAAATCAAGAAAGGACATCAAGTTAAGATTGAAAAAAATCCAGAATAATAATATTGCAAAAAAACCACTTTTAGGCAGAATAAGATCACCACGTTTATTTTTAGCACTCTCTTACTACACCATGCTAGCTGGCAGCTAACAGCAGCAACGAACGTTTAATTGTTCAGAGTAGTTAAAAGGTTAAACCGATAAAGAAAAAAACTAAACAGTCAGCCAGATGGTAAGACTATTTACCATAGCTGAACAGTTCATTATGAAACGTTAACTCGATGAGCTGTTAACTTACTTTGCACTCTTTGATAATTCACGTGGATACCAGTGTCCTCTCTTCACCCGGAAGTAGTTCCCCCCGTTTCCTCTTAGCGACGAGCATGGTTTCCGTAGCAACGAGTGCCCAAAACTAAATTCAACAAGTAGTTAGTCTTCTAGTGTCATTTATTTTATCTTATTTCGGTTTTATTTCTTGGTTTTACTACCATATACCATTTATTTATTGAAATGAGTAACTCGTCGTAAACGTGTGTAGCAAGTGTGTTAGTTGTTTTGCCCTTTTATCAAACCAAAAGACACACCAGGGCCCTTTCTCATTTAATCAAATCCCCCTCCTCGATTCCTCGACTCCTCGGTTCTCCGGTAGTGACCCGGAAATGAATTTCAGCGCGCCATGTTGAATGACATCTGGGTTGCGTTCGGATAGTTTACAAATCAGCTCCTAAGTTCTAACCCTATCTCCTATTCCTTGACCTCTGATTGAAACGTCACGGGGTTAAGGGATAGGATAGGAGAATTCAAAAGGACTTAGGAGAAGAGACTGCGGTACTCTGAGACTGCCAAGGCACTTTCACTATCCGACGTGTTTATGATTCGCCAGCGGACGTCATTGTGTGCGTCTGCTGCTGTGGTGAAACTATGGAAACTACAGTGTTCTATACAACGGACTACATGGATGTTTAATAAGAATGAACGAGGGACTCATCTAGAGACTCTGCACCGTGCTCTGATGCTGTTGCTTTATGCTTTATGAACAACAGAGAAACATATTCTTCATGACCAAAATTGGAATTGAAATACAAAATGAAAGTGAAATTTATGCTCGTCACCCTCTCCCTCCGGTCCACATTAATACAAATGATCCCAATACGTATGATTGTATGAAAATATCTTAAAATCAATACAAATGTATTTATTATAAACGTTAGTCTTTAACACCTATCACTGTGTATATCACCATTCAAACATCTTTTAAAAGTTGAACAAACCCCACACAGCTCAGTGAAATGTTGACTTTATTTGATCATTTCAGTAAAAACTAACGTTCATATTTCTCTTTTTGATTATAATACTGATGAACGTTCAAAACAAAGCACTTTGGCAACTTACCACATACGTTTTAAAATGCTTAATAAGCACCGTAACTTTCATGATATCATTTCTCCGTCATAATCGTTTGTTTCCGTGAACGGCCGACTGTTGTGTGATGCAAATGCTGCGGCTGCAAGGCATTGTGGGGCAGCATTTTCTCCTCTCCTTTCGGTTAGGGAGGTCCAGTGGTTCCTAAGCTAAAGGAGGTTATTAAGGAAGTTTGAAACCTGTTTCCTTTCATTTGGAGAATTGGAACGGCACTTAACATGGCTGCCACTGACGTACTTCCGGGTCATTTCACTTGGTTAGGAAGGTTCCTAAGCTAAATGGACTATTGGAACGCAACCCGGAAGTCCAAAATGCTTGATTGTCACGTGGTTCAGAGACTCAGAAAGTTCCTGGAAGTTTGTGGCGGGCCATTTGAATCACGATTTGAATGCATTAATAACAGGATAGAAATGCAATTTTTGGTAGTTAGTGGTCAATAAAGGTTTTGATTTGCAATATGTATACAACATATCGATATGTGTATGTAGTTACATCAATGTGTTTTGTTTTTTTAAAGTAAAATGTGCTAATATTTGAGGATTAAGACAAAATAAGAAGTACTTTATTGATACCAATTGGGGAAATGTTTACGCTGCAGCAGCAAAAGACAAGGCATTGTACATTAGACANGTTGTTTAACTTCCGCTCTACCGGACTGCTTTTCTTCATTCTTCAAAACGCAAAATTTAATCAAGGATTGCGGTCGGATAGTTTAAAAATCAGCTCCTAAATTCTGACCCTATCTCCTATTCCTTGACCTCTGATTGAAACGTCACGGGGTTAAGGGATAGGATAGGAGAATTCAAAAGGACTTAGGAGAAGAGACTGCGGTACTTTAGAGAATCCGAATGCACTTTCACTATCCGACGTGTTTATGAGGCGCCAGCGGACGTCATTGTGTGCGTCTGCTGCTGTGGGGAAACTATGGAAACTACAGTTCTCTATACAACGGACTACAACATGAATGTTTAATAAGAACGACGGACTCATCTAGAGACTCTGCACCGTGCTCTGATGCTGTTGCTTTATGCTTTATGAACAACAGAGAAACATATTCTTCATGACCAAAATTGGAATTGAAATAAAAAATGAAAGTGAAACTTATGCTCGTTACCCTCTCCCTCCAGTCCACATTAATACAAATGATCCCAATACGTATGATTGTATGAACTATGAAAATATCTTAAAAATCAATACAAATGTATTTATTAAACGTTAGTCCTTAACACCTATCACTGTGTACATCACCATTCAAACATCTTTTAAACGTTGAACAAACCCCACACAGCTCAGTGAAATGTTGACTTTATTTAATCATTTCAGTAAAAACTAACGTTCATATTTCTCTTTTTGATTATAATACTGATGAAAGTTGAAAACAAAGCACTTTGGCAACTTACCACATACGTTTTAAAATGCTTAATAAGCACCGTAACTTTCATGATATAATTTCTCCGTCATAATCGTTTGTTTCCGTGAACGGCCGACTCTTGTGTGACGGCAAATGCTGCGGCTGCAAGGCATTGTGGGGCAGCATTTTCTCCTCTCCTTTCGGTTAGGGAGGTCCAGTGGTTCCTAAGCTAAAGGAGGTTATTAAGGAAGTTTGAAACCTGTGTGGTGTAGGTGTGTGTGGTACAGTGTGTGCGTAGATGCAGCGGAGAGACAGGTATCAGTTGGTTTGGTGTCCTCGGCTTACTTTTAATACTCGTAAATAAAACTTTTGGCCCGTAATTTATTTTCCTCATTGTAGCGACCAGAGAGGGGGGGGGGGATATATCCAGTCTCTGATAGTGTTATGTTATTATGAGAGTGCTCTGTTTGATTCTGAAATTGTATATATTTATATAAATATATACATATATATATATATATGTATGTGTGTGTGTGTGTGTGTGTGTGTGTGTGTGTGTGTGTGTGTGTGTGTGTGTGTGTGTGTGTGTGTGTGTGTCCGCATCTGTAGCCTGTTATTGTCTCATTATACCGCACCGTGAATGAATCAAAGTAAATATATCAGTCGTCATGAACACATCTGTCCATCAGACAGAGGGCTGCTGTGCCTCCTGTCATCATTAATGGACGTCTCTTTAAAATGACCGCTCAGAGGAGAGGAGTTCTCATTTCTCTAACCGCCTGCTGCTTCGAGGATAGGAGTCGAGGAGGGGAGTCGAGGAGGGGAGTTAGAGAAATGAGAAAGGGCCCTGCAGTTAGTCAGCAAAAGACCGAAGCATTGCCCAGTTATTAATAAAACTAACTATCATACATGTAAAAACAATCGAAAGGAACTGAAATTAGCAGGAAAAAACGTAAACAAACAACAATTAAATCGTATTTAAAGTGTATTATTTTAGAAAGTAGGCAGGGTTTTAACCATACTGTCCCTCTTCATTCTTAACACAACTAATTATGTCCCTTTTTGTATGTACATACAAGTACAAAATCATAAATGAATGAGAAGAGATGGTCTGAAAGTGTTCAACATGATCCCTAATACAATAATAAGTATTCTGAACACTTTTAAGATTTGGTCGTACAACACTTTTTTATAACTAGCTAGTTTCAATCATGCTCTGCCTATAATCTAAACCTGACTTCTACCTCACCTTCAGCTCCAGAAGTCAAAGGTCAGTGGACCAACATGCCTCGACTGACTTACATTGGCTTGAACCTGCAACTACAGTACTTCCTCTCACTGGCTGCGGCCCCAAAATCCTCCTGCTTCTTCTGGTGTCCAGCCAGTGAAGATCTAGCAACCATGATGGTCTCCTATTTCGAGCCTTACACCTAAGGCTTTTGGAGGTGAGTCGTATCTATCCACTTAAGACCTCATCCGCTGCCTACTACTGTTAGCTTCCATACCACCCACATCTATGACAGCTATACGTCCCAATCTTTTATCTCCAGCTTCCTTGAGGACTTAAACCTATAATCTGGGCAAGCTGCAGTGCAACCACTATCTGCAGCCTCTAATATCCAAAGCTTTAGGGAGCAGTGACTTTTTAAACACCCTACATTCAATTTTGAATTTTAGAAGAGATGATTTATTACACTTTTTGGAAGAATAGAGCTATTAGGTGTACTGGGTCTCAATTCAACACACCACAAGCTCTATATACTTGGTATAAATCATTCAGAAATCTTCTTATTACTAACAATGTAAATCAACCTCATTCTTTACTTTGTATACAAATAACTACTTTTGTGATGTGTTATGGATGCACTTTTCATATTTATTTGGAATAATCTTGAAAATCAAATATGGAAATTATCTGAAGTATCAACTGGAAACCTTGCATTATTTATTTATTTGCAGCCTTTTTTTTATTGACATTGACACATTTGTGAGGATATCTTCTTTGTTTGTTTGCTTGCTTTTATTGCAGTGCAGTCATTTTTCTCTGTCACTGCACATGCCTCTCCTCTATGTGTGTATGGCTGATTGTATAGCTGCATCCCTATAAAGTGAATCATGGATAATGACAAAAGACCAGTTCAATGACCAGACAGTTATTAACCGAAATATGCACTGATGTATTAGCCACTTTGTGCAAACCACATTACAGACATTCATGTTACGCTGCCATGAGACAGTGACAGGGCTATCACTATAAGAACATTTAAAAAAGGAAAAATACAATTTTCACATTTTGATATTTACACAATTAAAACTCAGGTATATAGGGTCAACACATATACATCTTGTAATGGTTATATTTGCATTGTACAATATCTGAGCACACAAAAAGGCAAATTATTTACTTTAGTTTTATATAACAAAAAGAAATGGTCAAAGAAATGGTCATAAAATAAACATAGTGAATGGCATTATAACTTGATAAATTGTCCTGGGTTGAATTTAGTGTTTCCAAGGAAATTAAAACGGATGCTTATTAGAAATCTACATGATGCCAAACTTTGCCCTTCTACTAATAAAAACAGTGTACATGTGTGTGAGTCGGTTCCAGTTATATTCACAGTGATGGATGAGTTAATGTTTTCTCTAGATAACATTTGAAGGGATCCTGAATGCCAGAATATAATGACAGTAGCAATACAATTTCTAACCAAGCATGATCAGTATAGCCTTATTGAATCCAGAGTAATCTTGGGAAAACATGAGTGAAACTGGTTGAGAAAACAGTCCAACCTCAAGGTCCATTTGGTAGCTGTTCCAGAGATTTCAGCTGCACAACATGGTCTTCTTTTGAGCACTTTAAGTGGATTTGTCAACCGCTATTTCCATTGTCAAGAACAAGCTTTGCAATAAAACACTGAAACCGTTTTTTCTCTTCTATATATATATATATATATATCAAAATTCTATAAAACATTTAAATACATTTTGACAAAATACATTACCTCTAATATGCGCTTTTACATGCCTCTCAAATCATCAGACATCTCAAATATCACAATGCCCAGATATAATATAGTGCAAAATCACAACCTCAAACAGTAAACGTTACTGTATACACTGCAGCATTGCAGTATTAAATGGCTTTTTATCATAGGCTTATTAAAAACGACTAATCCATCCGCCGTAGACTATTTTTAGTCTTTTAAATCATCAGATTATTATTCAGAACTTTACACCAGCTCTTTTACTGCATGACAATTATGTATGAAATCTCCAATAGCACTGATAATAGAATGGAGACATGGAGAGAAAAACCCGAGTGCGAGTCCTTTGGGTCTTCCACCATGCCAGCTCTGTGGGCGTATGTTTAAATAAACATCCTAAAGGCTTGTTTTTTTTAGATGTATTCTTACACCAGATAGAAGAGAAGTAAAGTTTAGTTTTTGTGAAGCAAACATCACTGAGGAACTGGCTTCAATTAGTTACATCAATCATTTAGAGCTGCTCCCACATCTCTGTACTTCTATACATTAAAATCATACTTTAATCTTTTCTTTATTATGGTTAATACCACAGTGTTCTATTAACCTAATAGCATTTGCCCTTTCTGATGCACTCCATGTTTATGTATTTATTTACATATTACAATTAAAACTCTGTGTGCCTAATTAATGCATCATTACAACTGTTCCCTTATGAAAAAGTCTCCTAGGCTATGGAAGCTGAGTCACTTCGACCCTCTCTTTTGTGATTTTCTGTCCAGTCTGCTGAAAAATAGGAACGCAAAAGGAGAGCAAAAACACTTTTAGGATTGGTTCTTAAAATGTAACATGTTGCATGGTGCATTTTTAAGGTCCCATCACATCCATTCTGTGTGATATGCGATGTTTTCAAAATCTCCTTCTTCTTCTTAGGCAACAGGAAATTCTATAATCACACACCAGCGTTACACCAGCGTTTCTTTTTCAAGTCTTGTCGCATATCACCATAACCGTCGCCCAGTGTAGTTTACTGGGGCTGTGGGCATCTACACCAAAGAAACAAAACATGTAGTAAACAAGTTTAGTATTGTTAGGGTTGGTTATTTTTATGTCAACAACTCACAATGTGTGTTTCTTCCATACTTACCGTTCCACCATTCATGACCAGAGCCATCTCAGTGGGTTGGTAGACGTGACCTCTGAAAGCGATGCCGGGACGCATACTCCCATGGCTGCTGTGGTAGGTTCCAGTTCGGAGTGCTGACCCACCACGAAAGGTAAAGCACACACACGCACGTTATGGGTGTCATGGTAACAAATGTTACATCTACTAACTAGACCATAATGGCTCCAGTTTCAAGGGAACCTTACCTACTATTATATGGCATATTCACACTGCATAGTATGTCACGGCTCTACCTTTTTGTGTCATCCTATGAGCAAAATGTGTGGATGGTACCTGCTACTGTTTTGATACTACCTCCTTGGAGGTTCTTAACAAGCTGAGCAGAAACTAGAAGGTGGAGTAAAACACTTTAAACTAATGATTAATCCATGAGAATATTCACCAGCGGATCATCTTGCGCAAACCTGGACCTTTCTTTATTAGCTCTATCAAAATATTTTAAAAGATGGTAGCTGGAGAAACTATAATGTACACTCCGCTGCACAACCGACAGCAATCAGCTGATCATCCCATCACACTAAGGGGGTGCTCTTACCAGAGGAAAACAAAATAAGCAGCTTGTACCAAAATTGAGTTGATTTGAGCAGAGCTGTACCATAATAGATTAAATGTATTATACCGTGCCGTGGAAATGCAGCCATGTGATGACAGTGCTACTGATTTGTCTAAATGAAACATATATTACATGTGAAGCAACTATTGGGGGATGGTTAGCATAAGGGCGCTTACAAACCATGGACACTTCTCTTTTTTTAATACATTTCAGGGCACTATTTAGCCAATACTTTTCTCAGATCTTGGAAAATGCAACTTAAATGGCGTACAATAATAAATTGCAAGCAATAAGCTACAAGGATGTCAACTGATAAGGTGTGCTAACCTTGTCATTTTTTATACTAAAGCAGATACATCATATTTTTCCAATCTTAGCTCAAATTAGCCAATAAAATAACACTGGTATGTTGCTAATCCTATTAGATCCACTTGGCATTTTTTTCAGACAAGATGTTGTCATTTGGTCCTACCACTTTAAAAGGAAAAACGTTTCTGGCAACTTTGGTCTTATTTTTCTATGTATGGTCATGATAATTACAATATATAACACAAGCCCTACTGCAGTGCTCACAGTGACAGGGACTGTACTGTCCATTAAGTAAGGTAAAAAGAGACTTCAACATCCTTTTAAACCAATAGTAACTCTTCTGGAGACTTGGTGACACATTGTTACATTGCTTCCCTCTGTGTTTTCTTAACTAACTCTCTGTATGACTCTGCCATTGTGAAAGTTGGACTGCTGTCACACTTTGTGCTTTCTTACAACAGACTGCGTTCTGCCAGTCTTTGTTTGTCCTGGTTCATCGTGGTTTAGCTCTTCATCTGTGCATTTGGCTTCAGATAAATATGGACAGCTACCAAAGTGAAATGACTCATACATATCCCTATAAGCCTCTTAGATACTCAGCCATTTCATAGGGTTTAATTGGATTTTGTATTATGCTGCAGGAGTGGTTTGAGACGTTTTATTACATATTTTTATTTTTATATATTTATTTATTCCACTGAGAGAACTGAGGCCTTTTTAAAAGCATAGATTTAGGCTTAACAAATCTCATGGGCATCTGGCTGAGTTAGGAGAAATGTATAAAGATTTAAAAACTCCTACTTCTATCAAAAGCTGCTACATTGCGTTAGTGTATTAGAAAATGCAACAATAACGCAGTGTTAAAAGCACATTTGGATGACTTGCGAGTTACTGACAATCAAAGTAGTCAACCTACAACCTTCAAGTCAAATGAATCCAATAGCACTGTAGAGGACACTTTGCAGACGCCTTCACTACTACTGGGAAAATGCAATTAATCACATTTTGAATAAATTAATAAAGTAAATTAAATTGTGTTAAATGTTTTAATATCCAATCTTTGCACGCACTTTTTATGTTAATGTATATTTCATTGATTCACTGACACAAACCAGTTCGCTTGTCAAACAATCTCTGTGTAAAGTCCATGAGACATGATGTTATGATGTATTTAAAAAGGTCAGACTCCTTAAAAGCTGGTTGTTTTTGTTCTCTAGTCGGCATGACATTGAATGGCATGAACACAACGTTGTTTTTTGTTTAGTTTTTGAAGAGGAGACATGGCATCATCTGTTTTGTTGATAGTTGCCAAGCAACAGGGATCTCATGGCTTTGTCATGACTTACCATTAAACCAAACACATTTGTAATCAACCTTTAAATGTTGAAAATGCAACCAAATGAGATCCATTTAAAGGCAGCATTAGAAAACAGGTTGAAAATCCTTTCTTAGATTATTTCATCTTTAAAACAAACATGAACACACACACACACACACACACACACACACACACACACACATGTTACATAAGCCTACTTTCACCGTGCTCCTCCATAGAAAAGGCTTGGTTCTCAGGGAAGGGTCGGTGTGAGTGTGCTGGGATCTCATCTCCAAAGTGTGGAGGCGGGGACGTATGAGTGGTGTCGAAGAAGTCTTGCGTTATGGACTGCGGAGGGTTCCGGAGACACAGGTGGGCCTCTGGAATAGCGTGGAACAGCAGCAGGATCCAGCCCTGAATGACCAGGGCCACCGCCAGCGCAGGCTCATCCAACACCTTCACATCCTTCTTCCCCGGTCCCCCAAAACGCTCCCCTTTCCCCTTTCCCCTCACCTGGCTGCCATAAAGATAAAACCCCAGCCAAGCCACCCATAGCAATGCTGATGCCAAACTGGACAGGAAGAGCCAGACGGCGTTACACTTCCATCTCCGCTTTTCACTCTCTCCTTCTCTATCTTCTTCACTCTCTCCCCCCAGCTCTCCTCCACACAGCACCACCCCCAGAGAAAGCCCCATGGCTATGAGGAGCAGCCCCAGTGTGTAGCTGCATGTCAGAGCAAAGTCTAAAGGTGGGTATTCGCAGGCTGGGTGACCCTCTCTAACGACAGTCAGCAGGACCCATTCAGCAGAGATGATTCCCTGAACCAACGCCAACGCGAGGCCCAGAGCCGCCAAGGAGCTTCCTGATGGACTCGTCTGGCCGGCCACCAGTCTCCTGAGCCTCACACCCTGCACCAGCAAGCTGGAGAAGCAGAGGGCAAAAAGGGGACCCCAGAAGGCCCGGCGGACCACACAGAGCGCCTGGTTCTTCCCCACCAGGAACGCCAGGGAGATGGTAAAAATCCCCAGGAGCGTGCCCAGGAGCAGGAGAAGAGGTCCCAAGCCGGAGCGCCTGGCGGGGTCAGAAATGGAGCGCAGCTTGACCAGCAGCAGCACGGCGAGGACCAGCGAGGCGAGGCCGCCGCTGCAGGCCACCGCCTCCAGGACCACCCCCCAGACAGCCTCCAGGTCGCACAGCACTCTGTACGGAGGGTCTACATCCACACTGCAACCCCGGGGAGGAGGAGGAGAGGGGTGGGATGAGGCATAGCCCATCAGGGACAGGAGGCAGATGATGATTGGGCTGACAGCCATCTTAGAGATACAGAAACAGAAAATATGTAGTAATGGGGAGAAAGGTGCAGAGAGATAAACAAGAGGAGTGATACTGTGGAGGTAGATACAGAGAGGAGGGGGGCACGAAGGTGGATGTCGTGATACATAACTATTTCATAAATACTGCCTCTTCATGAGTCACAATATACAGAAGAAACAGCCGACAACATTTATTAAGATCCAGTAAGCCTGCTATACACCAGAGATTAATATGTCTTTCTGTCTAACAAACAAACAAACACACACACACACACACACACACACACACACACACACACACACACACACACACACACACACACAGAATAGGACTGCTTTTAGCACTGGGCAATGGTTTCCATGGGAACGGGAAACAGCGTGGGCTGACTATTGCACACTGGGCTTTTGAGAAGTCGAGTTTCAGTACCCAAAAGCACAGAGAAATGCATGAGTATACACACACACACACACAAACACACACACACACACACACACACACACACACACACACACACACACACACACACAGACAAACATAATGCTTGTACTCACTTGTGAGAACCCCTTAATGACAAATTCATCCACCAGCCATAAAACATTACCCTTAGTTGAATCTTCATGTAAGTTGTAACCCTCCAACAGTGAAGAGTGATCCCAAAATATCCTTACTGTCAATTTCTGACAAGGATAGAAGTATCCAAACGCAAATAAACACACATACGTACGTACATACTAAATTCGACACAAATGCTAAAACTCTTTAATAAACTCACCTCAGATTAATTCTTGCCTTGAAATGTTGATTATTGGCAGTGAGGGGGCATTATTATTTTCCGGTCTGCATCCCAGCAAGTATTTTTGTTTTATTATCCCAGTTAATTAAATCCTTGAGGCAGCGAAAACAAAACGGTTTCCATTTTGTCTTTTATGTCTCTCTCAGCTCCCACTGTTTTTAAAGTAAAAAACAAGCACACTTTGTTGCGAAATCAATAATGTCCTTCTGCTGCACTGTTACGTCCGGCTGCTCCGAGAAAGATCTACAATTATGATGCATGCCTTGATACTTCACACACCCACGGAGTCAAATATATCTTGTGTGTCTCTTTCACTCTTCTCTCTCGCTCCCTCTGTCCCCCTCTTTCTAGTCATTCTGTGTGCATGTCTCTTTTCTCGCTCCCTGCTTCACGCTGAATCTGCGGAGGTGTCAACAGAGACTCAATCCCAGCTTTACTCCTGCTCACCCACACATGGGGAGCATGATTTGCTGATGCACCTGTCTAAACAGGAAGGGACATGTGAAATAAGTACAGTACATAACCATGGTAATTCACAGCCAATCCAGTGTGAGTCACCAGCATGGTAGAGTGTTATTTCCTGCCTACTGGCTCCCACGTCTTCCTCATTATTCAATTCTTCCTCACACCCAGAGCTGGAGATTCATCTTTAACCAGCAAATTGGACCAAAATCAATGGACTCTTCAGCAGGGAGATGTTTGTGAATGGTGTGTGTCGCAGAGTGAAGGAGAAGAAGTGAAGGCTTTGGAAAAAGTGGGGCAGATGGTCAATCTAAACACAGGTGAGCCCTGTGGCCACGTGGCTGTCCTTGTAGAGAGTGTTACATAATACCCTTGAAGACATGATTCAGCCAAGTCTCTTTAGAGTGGCGTAATCTCCTCCCCTGGAGATGGCTTCTTGCGGTGACACGACGAAAGAAAAACCCAACCATTGTACTAGCTTATCGAGTCTATTTGGATCAGTGTGAGAGTGATTGATGCTGACAGACAGTAGTGGGCTCAGTGACAGAAAAAGGCCAAAGCTGTTTTTTGTGACACAAATAAACTGACAGTTAGTGATAGTGAGTGTTTTGGACAGTCATAGCAGATGAATTACTTAATGAATGGGTTTACAATAGATACATCACTCGTGACAGATGACATGATGTATTGTATTTTAAACTAAAGCAGACAACCATAGTATGCAGCCCAATTTGTAATTGCACCATTGTCCATCACAGATAACAGCAGACTTTATATAAGAAGTGGATGAGGATAGTTTCCTTTACGTTACCCATTTATTAGTCGCCTATGGTTTTAGGCAACTCAAATGTTACATTTAACTTTTATGAACTGGTAAGACTGAGAAACGATTAAAGGTCACCTATTACATTTTTCATGTCCTCTATTTGTTAAGAACTCAGGCACTTAGGAGGTAGGACCCAATTGCACGACCCGGGAGACAGAGGTAAAGTATTGGTGAGATACTTTATTTTTCCAAAAGCAGGCAAGATGAACAAAAAAAGGGTCACTAACTAATCTCATGTTGAGATGACAAAAAATGAGAACAAAAAGAAAATCGCTCACGTGGTGAGGAACAAAACTTTTCACGAGTACAAAAAAAAGGAATAGACCTGACCAAGGCAAAAGACAAGGAGCATAGACCTGAAGAAGGCAATAGACAAGACGCATAGACCTGAACATGACAAGAGACAAAAAGGAACTGACACTGAACACTGGGAGACAGGGGAATTTAAACACAGGGTAACAAGACACAGGTGGGAATAATCAGGGGCGGGACTGACGCTGATTAGAACAGGAGACACAGAAGGGGTGACAGGTGAAAACAATCAGGAAATTAGACACACCAGGGAAAACTAACGACAGACAGGAAAACCAGACAATATACAGGGAGGAAAACATGACAAGGAGAACAGAAAAACACCCACTACCAGACACACAAACTTAAAACCGTGACAGAACCCCCCCCCTCAAGGGACGGATTCTAGACGTCCAAAATCCAAGAGGGTGGGTGGAGGAGGTCCGGAGGACGGGTCCGGAACGAGAACCCAGAGGCAAAACACAGTCCATGATGGGTGTCTCGGGCGGACGACCCAGGGGCAAGGCAGAGTTCATGATGGAGCTCTCGGGCGGACGGCCCGGGGGCAAGGCAGAGTCCATGATGGAACTCTCGGGCAGACGGCCCGGGGGCAAGGCAGAGTCCATGATGGAGCTCTCGGGCGGACGGCCCGGGGGCAAGGCAGAGTCCATGATGGAGCTCTCGGGCGGACGGCCCGGGGGCAAGGCAGAGTCCATGATGGAGCTCTCGGGCGGACGGCCCGGGGGCAAGGCAGAGTCCATGATGGAGCTCTCGGGCGGACGGCCCGGGGGCAAGGCAGTAGCTGGTGGAATCTCTGGCGGGGTCCGGCGTAGACGAGACCCTGGACGGAACAGGACATAGGGTTGGCAGGACCCCGGCAGAAGAGTAGTCGGCGGGGCCTCCAACGGCACAGGACATAGGGTTGGCAGGACCCCCGGCAGAACAGTAGTCATCGGGGCCTCCAACGGCAGAGGACATAGGGTTGGCAGGACCCCCAGCGGAACCTCCAACGGACCAGGACATTGGGTAGGGACTTGAGGGGGAACTCGAGAGGAGACTCGAGAGGTGACTTGAGAGGGAACTCGAGAGGAGACTTGAGAGGTGACTTGAGAGGTGACTTGAGAGGGGACTCAAATGTTTTGGGTTGTGTAACCATGAGCCAATAACCAACCAAGGTAACCCCGCCCACCTTATCACCTGAATCTCCTCCTCCATATCCCGCAGAGGGACGTGGGGAGTGGCACCTTATTTTCATCTAAAGTAACAGATGATTTGTATATAACTGAGAACTATAATATATTAATGAAAAAGAGTATAACAGGAGACCGTTAAATTTATCAGACGGGAAAAAAAGGACAAAAACCAAACTTGGATAACGTGATAGCGAACCTTCACAATGTAGCCACGCCCACAAACTGCATTATCGGCTTTTTAAATCTAAATGGGACCATAATTGACAATGAGAGCTTCATGGTGTTTTGAAAAACACTTGAAACTAGGAAAATGTTCACTGAGGTAATAAATTAAGTGAGAAGCATTGTCATTGTCTCATAGACTTCTATACATTTGACCTTTTTAGGTCACTTATGCATTGGCTTCACTTTTCAGAACCTTAGTTGGGCGCCAGATGGAGTGGGGTTACAGTCGGGTCACAGGGGCCAAGGCTTTTTAAAAGTCCTGGGTATTAGTAACAGAGATTAATAAAAGACATTCATCTCTGTAATCACTGCCTGCCTCAGGTATTCATAAAGCAGAACTTTGTCACTGTCTTCAAAACGTTTAGGAATTCTTCTCAACTGGAGTTTTGTGTCTGGCATACCTGTATACGGTTTCTTTTCCTGTGTTGTGTTTGCGTCCCCTGAGAAGAAAGAGGTAGGAGACAACAGGGCAGAGAAGTGCTGACTAACTCAGGAAACCAGTCCTAATCTGTGTAATCCAGTGTTTACTCTGGTCACAGTCTAATAGGGCCTTGTATGGCCCATCCCATAATCCCACCCTTATCCCACCTCATGTCTTCATACAGATCCCAAAGAGGGCACACACCGAGGCTCTATCTGCACGTTATTACTTTGTAACACGACTTCACACAGTAAAGACATGCACAGCTGGAGAGCTGCAGTTTTCTCCTGATGGTAGAGTACCTTGCCCAAGAGCACTGATAACAGAATAAGTTATTTGGTTCTGTTTGATCTTTAATTGAGGCACATGTTTGTACAGTTGGCTGATGTTCTTTAGGGTAGAGCAATGGTCTTTATTAACTTATCCTTTTTTACTGTTGGATATCTGATAGTCTTAGGAAAGTGTCTAGTGACAGCCATGATAAGATAATTCTCTCAATGCTAGGAATGTGCTTTTATTCTTCCTTTGTTGTCTCTTGGTGTAGTGTAAACTGGACCATCCTTTATCTAAAATAAGTAGTAAATGCCATCCCTTCATTCCTTTAGGGCAGCAAAATGTAGAGCTACACACCATTTGGACGTCAACAAAATGCGCTTTTACTGTTTAATCACTTACATTGAAAGCATAACTCTTAGGAGGTGTGATTTGGACATGACATATTATTTCATTGTACAGCATTTAGTTTGTCACTCTACTCATCTACTATGTGTTACTTATATCTGCCGCTGCATAATTATATTGCCGGGTATAAGTGTAAGTAGATTCTCTTTACGTAAATCCTCCCTATAAATTGTCCTTCTGATCTTTCCTTGACCTCAAAGAGGGACATTTTCCATTGGGGTAAAGGAAAAGAGGTTGGGGAAAAAACACCATTCCCTTTTTTACAGCAGTCCAAGTATAAAACAGGGCACTGTAGGAATTGTCAAGTGTAAGTGGGGGAGCGTCAAATGAAAAGCTTCAGCTCACAGTCAGTTGGCTCTATCTGCTATCTGCTCTGAGAATGGCAGTAAGCTCCAGTCTGAGATCTCATTTAACAGAACATTCAGCACATCAGCTTTGTCTTTAGTCAAGTAGACAAACAGCATAGAGGAGACAACAATTTTACTTTGATACATTTTAGCCACTTCTGATCATATAAATCAACATACACATTTACTAATGAATGACATCACCAACATTTAAAGGCCTCTATTTTCCCTGACCTTCCCAATAGTTGCATCATGACATTTAAATGAAGGCAGACATTATTCAGAATAACATTATTCTCAGCAGACAGTTTGTAATGGAGGTTAATAATAGCTTTGCTCCAATCAAGTATTCCAGTTAACCAAGCCTGTGACCCAGTATGCACATTAACTGGTGTGCAGTCATCATTATTATAACAGTAGTGGCTGCTGGGAGAAACGCTTACTCTGTAAACACTTTATCCCTGCATCCCTTTCCTTCCAGGAGTAACTCTGCAAAGAGTCTGCCCCTCTTCCACATGCCATCATTATTTCACTGTAATTCAATTTTAAAATGTATTGTATGCAGTAGGGATTTTCCGATCGCCAATTTTGGGGCCGATCGCCGGAATCAGTATCGGCCGATACCGATCGCCGATCCGATCGAGTGGGCGGGGCCTATGGGGATCTTCCATTTGAAGCAGTGTTTCTCAAACTTTTTCATGGACCACTTAACCACCTAACTCCACAAATATCCAAAGACTCATCGTTTTTATAGAACAGATTACAAATCGCCTGAAAATGGTACAAAAAAAGTGGCAACATGTGTGATGAAGGTGTTGCGCGGGGCTATATCATGCGGAGATATCCCCGCGAGAGTGCTCGCTTAAATTTATTTATTTATTTCAAATGTGAAATGTTACCAATATACCCACGGACCACCAGTGGTCCGCGGACCACACTTTGAGAAGCACTGATTTAAAGTGATGTTTAAAACTCAGTTAATGGGGATCATTCGCTTCCACAAACAACAACCAACATAATTATTACATTCAAATGAAGTACATTATTGAATAATGTACTTAATTTGAATGTAATAATAAAATGTAAATAAATGTTAATGTAATGTTGAATAAAAAAATTTCAACATGTTAAAATGTTAATGTAAACTTGAATAATGTATTCAAGTTTACATTAACTTTGGATAATAACATGGGAGAAATGAGCGGAAGCGCTCTCTTTTCCTCTCTCCCCCCCTCTCTCCCCCCCTCTCTCTCTCCTGACAGCCTGTCAGTATCGTCTCATGCAGCTCACTGATCCATGCAGCTCACTGATCCAGTAATGCGTGACCCAACAGTGAAGAATAAATATATGTATAACTAGTTTAGCTTGTTCCAGAGGTAGATAAAATAGCTAAGTGTGTTAAGCGTGTTAGGCCGATCGATCGGAGCATCCCTAGTATGCAGAGAAGAATGTATATCTCTAAAACGAACTCACCTTTTGACTCAACATTATGACAACCTGAGGACAGCTCAATGTGAACATTACAACAAGTAGGCTAATTGAACTCCGTACCCCTTCTAGATGGCACTGCAAGATTAAGTCCCGATTTTTTAAATCCTACAAAAAGTATCAAAAGTTGCTTTAAACATTATGGGCTGCTACTTTATAGTGTAGTACATATTTGCATAATAGCATACATTGACAGGGATCTACTGAAGCAGTTTAAACCTGGCTTGCTAATACAAAAAGCTATATTTCAAAGGTAATCATTTGATTTATTTTATTCATTTTAAGAAATTTATTTGTTAGTATTGCAATAAAAGGCTGGGTTGAAAAAAATATTTAAGATATTAAGGGTATAGGAGGTAAGTAATAGCCTTTCCCAATTCTTTCATATTGTTTCATTAACATATATTCATTTTTCATCATGTTTTTAAAAGACTCAAATGTTGAAGGAAATAGTGTTCTGTACTAAAATGTTTCCACAAATAGTGCATTTTGTTATTTAAAAAAGATTTAGTCTTCAGTAAAACAAAAACTAATAATTGTATATAAACATATCAACTTTTCAAAAAAAACTTTAATCAAAATGAAATTTAATATTATAAATGTGGGTGTCTTACAAATAATTTGACATCTAAATTGACTTTACTCACAGCCTTTGCAAGACAGGAAATATGAAATTAAAGGAAAATGGCGTGTTTACCATCCTTCATTGATACAATTTAACAATTTAAAAATAATATCACAATCATTAGGTTTTTTTACATGATTGCACATTTTAAATCAATTGATGAAAGAAAAGAAGATATCACAGCTCTTATAATCTGCTCTCCAGTACAGAGCAATGCTTGCACAACCCACATTTTACTCAAGAGGCCTTATTGTTATGATGACATCCGATGTGTTTGCATAATATGGTTGGGCTCCCGACCTGGTGTATATTCAGTCACGGGTTGCCTCTTGTTGTCGCTTCAGTGCAGTTGACACAGTACTGCTGTTTCACCTGCGTTTATGGATGTGCAGGACTCTGTTACAGGAGGGGCAGGAGTGCTCCACATCCTTGACTGAATCCACAAAGAAGGGGATTACACAGCAAGGCCAGCACCTGATGTGGAGTATCAGAATTAAGTCAAAAATAATACTACAGCAAGGCCAGCTTTTAGGTTAAAAAGCTCCCATGCTGCCTTCAAAATGTGACTTAGCTCAACCTAGCATAGTTACATTAACATTAGCTGTTAACACTATTTATGAAGAATACATCATTAGTGTGTTATCAAGGCATTCATATACCATAATGTATTCATATTGCTTTATCACACTGCATGTCAACAGACAATAAAATAGTATCAACTGCAGTAAGCATGTATTATACTGTATGCTATAATATAACATTCAGTACCAGAATAAGATATCAATGTATGTGTTAAGTAAGGTCAAGAACAAATAACCTAAAATAATATCTGCCGCAAATAAAACAAAGCAGCAAAGCATCATGTAGGTTTTCCTCAAACAATAAAGAAGAGGGGCAACTGAAGAGTTTTAAATCTCAAACATGAATGCTATGAAGTATGCTAATATGCTAATCATATTTTCTTAATTACATTTATTCAACTCAACAATTCAAGTAAAACATTTTATTTATTCATTATTATTTAAAAAATAAAAGCAAGATATTCTATGCGGAATGAACTCAATATAATAAAACTGTTAATGAAGAAAGATGGTTGATCCCGTAAACTTCCTGTATGGCCTTTATATGTGTGTGGTTGTTGGTTTCTCTACTCACAGGAAGACTCCCAGTATGCCACAGATCAGCCAGGTGAGCAAGCCGTTTACGTAGTTCACTTTAGTGACTACGGTGGATCGGCAGTGCGGGCACACCATCTGCCCAGGAACTTCAGTCGGCAGCTGCTGCACCACCACCACCTGGTTCACTGTAAGGGGGACACCTCGTCACACTCACTGACACCCACAGTCCTCCTCACCAACCTGCTGTCACTAAACGTCAAAGCTCTCTCTTTTTTTGCTATTATTATTCCTTGTGAGAAAAAGGAAGGAGAAACACTCACCAGGATGAACCATCTGAGGTTGTTGTTGGCTGTACTGGTAAGCAGGCTGTTGAACTGGATATGGGAAGGAGACGTTTAAATAGAGAGCAATACAAGCTACCAAAAGGCTCCACATGGACTAAAAGGAGAAGAACAATGGTAATATGACACAAATGAAGATCGCCTCTCTCTTACTGGGTTGTTGCATAGGCTCATTTTGGTAACCCATGTTCACATGGGGACCATGGGGACCCGGGGGACCAGGGTACGGGGGGGCTGGCATTGTCGGATAAGGTGGCTGACCCTTTTCCATGATATCTGCTGAAAGACAAAATGAGATGAAAAGGATATTGAAGTTATCTTTGTAATCAGTTGTTGTAGTGTTTTTGTGTCTCTTCATGGTGATTTTTTATAATTATTTAGTTCTTTTGCACCCCCCTGTGCTTATGCTGTGTCTCTTTATATATCTTTTTTTGTAGTAGTTTCCCATTTATAAAGCCTAGTTTGTGATTATTTTTGTTTTTCTGGTCATGTTGAGTCTCTTCCTGCTTAGTATGTGTCTCTTTGTGTGGCAGTTTGTAGGTGAAGGCCTCCTTGGCCCGTTCAGTAATGCAAATGACCTTGAAATCAGTTGTGACTCTGATTGAGGCAAACGGAAGGTGTTAAGCAGGTTTGGTTGAGGAAGTGTGCTGCATACTTGGCTCCAGATTGGAATTTTTTATGTCAACCATCTGCTTTTGGAAACGCTTTTTGGGAAAGCATTTCAAAGCAGTGAATGGCCATTTGTCTCTCCACGACGTAGCAAGCAAACTGGTTTGGTGGCATTGCTTTCTCACTATATAATAGATTGTCCAAGGGAAACTAGATCGTTCACTGCCCTCACATGATCCAAAGTCCCATGCAACAATACAAATGATACTCCAAACGCTGATCGACAGCAAATCTGCAGTGAACATGCACCAGTGAGGAAGATATGCCCATTTAATTTACTCATCACAGTGCACAGTGCATCACACTTACTGGTGGTGTGTGTGTGTGTGTGTGTGTGTGTGTGTGTGTGTGTGTGTGTGTGTGTGTGTGTGTGTGTGTGTGTGTGTGTGTTTTAAGAAAGCACAAGCAAATACGGATACGTTTTCCATGAGCTTTTCCTCTAGTGCTAGCATGTCAACAAATGTTTCTTCTGACTGGAGGAACAATGTGTTAATGCAAATGTTATGCAGTTTGATTTTACAGCACATACCAAACTGTCCCACAATGCATCAGTCATGTCAAATTTTGAGCCAGACCAATAGCTGTTCATCATTTTTGATATGCTTTTATGCATGAAAGATTCATTAGTAATATCACATCGATGTGGTTTCGAACACAACGCTGGCATGGAAAGCACAGGTGAAAGCAATTTGTTTTAATGACAGCTCGGTGGCCTGCAGCTTCGATGGTTAATGATATCGGTAAAACCTCTGCTTACTGAGTCAAATCACAGCTGTGGGTAACATCAGTGAAGTTTCTGTGGGACACTAAAACTTTATCACAGTAGCACAGCAGTAATACAAAAAGCTGGTTTGGCCAATGCAAAAAAACATTCATTAACAAGTGGTTAACATCACTTTCAGTATAAATCTGTTAGATTGGGCTCATGCCGATTCATGCTTTACTTGTAGTTTCTGCATATGTATAGCATGTGTATATCTTCACAGAATGTGCTAGGGAATTTTTTTGCATTTTTTTAAATGCTGCGTACTATATGTAAATGTGCTTTGTTTTTTTTCCAGGATTTTTTTTAAAGCTGTTTGGCGGAAGCTCCTGACAAACCAGAGAATGCAGCCTGGTCAGTGAATTACTGGAAAATAAAAGGGATTGGCCAATCTTGTTTAACCTGTCCGCCTCTTAATGAGCCATAGCCACTTTTGAACATAGTCATATTCTGCACAAACTGTAAAGTACCCGAGACAAATGGAAAATGTGTGAATTTGGGCTATATATATATATATAAACTTTAATTAATTGATTGAGCGATAACTTATACACACATTAAAAAAAAAGCAACGCATTCCAAGACTAAGTGGCATTTACTGTAGGTTTCACCTCGCCAGAAAGGGTAAGACATTCATTATATAATGTTTTTAAATATTTAGCTTGGATTCCACACAAATAGATCATAAAGCTCCTATTATTACAAGTGGCTCTCCTTTGATTTTGAAGTACAGATTTGTTAAAGTCAAAACAAATCTGGAAAACTAGAAAACGTTCAGGTACTGCTAGTGTATATTTCCCCTCACTCCGAGCCTGTGCATGTAGGTTTAAAAAGGACAGATGTGATGCTGCTTACCTTGATAAAGACGTTTGGAGGATGTTTGAGCCTAGCACTGCTTCTTCCTCTATGACAGAGCAACTGAGACACACAACCAAACAGATGTTGCTGTAATGTGAGAGAAGGTGGGGTAGTACTGTGAAAAGGTGGAGTAATTATAGGTGTGGACTGTATCTTTAGAAATGTTATTTCCTTATATTGACCTTTCTGTAGTGTCCTAACAACTCCAACGCAAATATTTAGAGACACAGTATTATATAGTTTTATTTTGTTGTGTATTTTGTGTTATAGTGGAAGATTAGTCGACTCTTTAAAACGTTTTATATTGATTCCAAACTCACAGATTTGATAAAGAATAAGTAGAAGACTACTTTTATGATAATATCAAAACAGAAATCACATTGTTTAAAAGGGTAACATATAACATCTTAAGGAAAAGAAAGAAAAAATCAACTTAGCTATCAATAATTATAACTACCTTTTATATTAAAGTTGTATTCCTTTTTTACTGTCAGAAATGTTTTTTATTATTCAGGAATTAAAAAAATCACACAAAAGGCTACATACAAACCCTCAATAGATTCTGGTTCTTAAAATATGTATTGTTCTAAAAATGGGTCACAAATATATATTTACTTTTTTAAAGGATTAAACAATCTCCTTAAAGGTGGGGTAGGTAATTTTGGAGAAACCAGCTCGAGTGCGCTAGAATTTGAAAATACACAGCCGGAAAAAATCTGCCACTTCCTTACAGAGCCCG